CTTACTGGCTTTGCTTTTCAGATCAGGAGGTAATGTCCATCTTTTATATTGGGTCTGATTGAACCATGAACCTTGGCTCAGACCGATTAATTTTACATTTATCGACCTCTTCATTTGAAACGTTTGCCAAGTTTGGCACCTACCATTGTAACACGATTCACTATAATTCAGGTAAACCATAATGGCTCACCTTTAAATGTTATTATTTGACGTTACTCTCATTGCAGATAATGATGTGAAGATGAAAAAATTAGACAATCAATGAACCAATTAATCAAGACTATGTATTCAGTTCTAAAAATATTGGCATCCACTAACATAAAACTTATTAAAATTATGTCCCAGTTATTCAAATGATCTTCTGCCATCTTAAATAACCAAATATTTTGGGGTATTGTTGGTTTTTTTGGACAAAAAAATTTATTTCAAAGAAGAATTTGGCTTTTAAACTTGGAGATCTTCATGCGCTTCACATTAGGTTAGTTGACCACAATGATTAGTTCATAAATCTAAATCGCATAAAATGTTGTTAGCTCCAGTCCTTTGATGATGTCATTCAAAGGTGACACTGCTATTGAATCATCTTTAGGTTGAAAAGTAGCATGGTGGGTAGATGCAGTGCCTACATTAATCATTTGAGATGACAGCAGCACTCCAGTTAACAAGGTAAAAAGAACTAGGCGGCAGTGGGTTCAGACCAACCAGACAGAGCTAATGGAGAAGCAACAGAGAATGACAGCGGTCGGCTTGGGCCGGCATGAAGATGCCAGATATGGGAGGGATGATGAGGAGGGAAGCCATTAGAAATGAAATTAACAAAGGAGGGAGGGGTGGGCGGGGAGCAGGAGGAAGGAGCGATGCTGTAGAGCGGCTCTGCCTGGGACAGCGCGTGACGCTTCCTTGTTTTTTCTAGTCAGTCGACTGAAAGCAACAACTGTCAGCTGAGCACAATCCCGAACAACAACGAAGACAGAAACACTGTCATAGAAAAGATGGTTTCACACTCTGTATGTTAAAACCATCTGATCTGACCTTCGTCACCAGCTTCAGCTCTCTCTCAGACTATCAACGTGACCCTGGAGCTTCAAACAGCCTCTTCTTCCTGTCAGTGAGACCAGTACAGGGCCAGGCTGTTGCTCGGTGCTAAAAACAGCCGTGCCACTCAGGAAGATCAAACTATCCAATGGGTATGCACTCCTGTGCTGTTGCTAGGCCCCCTCTCTCTTTCTCTCTCTCTCCTCTCCAACTCCCCCCTTCTCTGGAGGACATAACACAGAAAAATGGCTGAATAATAAATTCTAACTCAATAAACGAGGAGACAGCAGCTGCACTCAGACAGAAAGCCCCTTGTCCGAGTCTCACTTTTTCACTGAGGGAAAGCTGGTGGACAAACATGCATAGATCAACACGAATGCACGCGCACGAGTGGAGCAACAGTGTATTCTGGATTTTAGCATAATTGGCCATTGAGAGATGCAGCTCCTCTAAAATGCACCACGTTTCAGACTGTTTTTACACAGCGTGCGAGCAGCGCTAGTGTTGTGATTCTGTGGTAGAGGAGCGAGAGGGGGCGAGGAAAGCAGCGGCAGAGATGCTGGAGCAGTACAACCGACTAGCCCACATCAGAGGTGGTGGAGGAACAGAGAGCATCAGCTGAGCCGCTTTACGAGAAATTATGCCTGGTCTGAGCGGAAACAATAAATATCTGGAAAACCAGATGTCATTCCCTGGTTTATCTAGCTACAAATAAACACAGAATCTGTATTTAGTTATTAAGACTCATGCCTGGTTATACCATTTATACCATGGCCAAAAAAAATCTGGCTGAAAGGTTTATGACCCAGACAGTAACCAGACACATGTTTTTTCACCTCTAAATTAGTATGGTAACATTAAACTATAAGTTTTTTTTTTAAAAAAGACAGTATTTTACATGGAGACAGTAAAACGGCTAATTAGCTAATGTGCCTATTTGGGGGGTGATATTTGAGGCAGCCAAATGATACATAGTAATTCATAATCAGAAATAATAATAATAAAAAAGCTGTACTTTGTGATTTTCAGTTTAAAATATAAAGCTACTATCAAATGTCACCAGACATAACAGAGCTTTTATTGTGAAAATCACAGGCTACACCAAAAATTGAATGAAAGAGGTATAACGCCACATTATACAAAACAATTCAGCTCTTGCTACTTTTTAAAATATGCAACTTGCAACTATATTAAAATATATTAACCCTGACATCTGAGCCACAGAGGAAATCACTAGTGCAAGACTATAGTTTTGAAGCAGATGACAATTTCTATTAATTAAAACAATTCTGATATTAATACTGAATGATATTTTATAAATACACAGTTATATAAATGCACAGCTATGATAAAAAGTGTAAATGCTGGTTTTTTTTAAATTAAAAAACGATCTATCCTTCACAAACTACCACATCTTTCACAAGCAATTCAATGTGAAGACACCGCCTGACTGCACTACTGTCTGTTCATGCTACTATGCTGCATGTGCTGCAAACACTAATAAGACTATTTCTAAATTACTCCAATCATATTTTCTCTATTATGTTCTTTGGGAAAAAAATTATCATAAAGTTAAAAGTTATCATATAAAATGGCGCATGTAGGAAAAGATAAATGTGGTGTCTCTAATACATCTGTAATTGCGCAACATCAGCCAAGAAGCTGACAGACAGACAGATATACAGAATGTATCAGCTGGGCTCTGATCTATTACAGGTATGGAAATGTTTGTCAGCAGTTCCTCTTTATCATAAAGTAGACTATCTAAACTACAGGGTGTTTCACTATCACAGGTTTTTTCCGGCTTCCCAGGCCTTTTGGAGACTAACCAATGTTAAGTACAAATAGATAAGAAACTGAGTCAGTGTTACTTCACTTAACAGAATATTTTTGGCATTTGTGAAATAAAAATACATTTTAGTCTTGAGTAAATGAAACTGCCACTTAGAATAACTGGTTAAAAATATTCTGTATTGCAGTCTCGGTGGTTTTCCTTTTTGGGGGAAAGACCAAAATCCTTTTGGTGAGCCTGAATTTTTTTCTTTCTTTTATATATATATATATATATATATACACCTGAACAGGGTTTTTTTGTACCTCAAAATAGGCCTTTGGCCTCAACTTGTCACAAACAGTGAAAGGAAAGAGTCTTTGTTACCTTACTTACATTAAGTTCATGCACTATGCTGTTATTTCCGGCAATTCGATAGACGAAAACGTACTTTACAGTTAAGTAAATAACTCCCAACTTAAATAGCTCAAAATAATTTTATTACAGTCTTGGTGATTTTCCCCTTAGGGGGAGGCCAGATGCTCTTTACAGGCAGTAAACCCCTGATGACGTGTTCTTATCTTAGTTAAATGGTGACAAAATAAAATATGTCATTTACAGCAGTTTTTCTCATGAATTAAAAAGGCCGTTGTGGGACGTGAAGAGAACACACTTTTCCTTCATTATACAATTTTTTTAAAAACTACAGAAAAATGTTACTAAGGCTTGAAATAACACACATCCCTATACTTTCCAGGCCCATAATCACAGAGATTTACACTATAAAGATAAAATTAGAATATATTGTTAAGTAAAGTTATGACCAACTGACATAGTTTGATAGGTTTAAGGGGTGGACCACGCAAATCCTAACGTATCGCTACGTTATGTGTTTTTCCTGCTAAAGACGAGCAAACTCATTTGAAACACTGCACAAAATCCTGATTTGTGTGTACGTCAGGATATGTTTATATGTCATTCAGCTATATAATACTTCACAGAGCCAAAAGCCATTGACTTGCTTGACATGAAGCACAATGAACATGTGGAAACAAACAAGCTGTATTAGAGCAGCGTGTCTGTAGCACAGTTACCTTGAGCGAATCAAAGCAGGCGATGACTCGGCCGTTCTCCACATGGCAGCTCCGTGAGGGATGTGCAAACTTACACTCAGCGTCAGACCGCGAGCAGGTGCCTCTCTGAAACTCACGACACACTTCCAAGGTCAGCCATTTGGTGTCTCGTCCCATGGTCATGCTGACAGCCATCAGAGACGCTCGCAGACGCTGTGCAGCGGCGGTGGGCAAACTGACGGAAAACTGTCTGATGAGAGCAAGGGTGACTAATGGTGATTCAAGACAAAAAAATCCCCCAGCACAACACAGAGGAAACAGAAGCAAAAATATTTTCGGTTTCTCCTCAGTGCAAATAGGCAGCGAGTCCTTTTGGTTGGTGTATTTTGGGGGATGTTTATTAGTTCTTCCTGGGAAAAGTGGCAGCTGAAGTCTCACTGCAGTGAGATATATAGAGGGGCTTGACTGCGAGCAGAGGCCAGCTCTGTCTCAAAAAAAAGGAAGAAAAAAAGGAAACTAATCTGAGGGCATCACTCTGGCATGTCGCTTGGATCGCAGAGTCGCCGAGCGTGTGCATTCACCTGTATCAGCCCGCTGTAAATCACCACTACATTCACGTCAACATGGCCAGGCTGGGGCATTCACTGTAGTTCTACTTTAGTTATATTTGGGCAGCCTGACAAGGAAGCTAAAGATTTCTTTAGAGCAAAACAAAAAACAAAAACAAAACAAAAATAAAACAAAAAAAAAGACAGTCTTACACGGAGATGTCCTCGTAATGATGAGACGAAGTGGCTGCTCAGCTCAGGGTATGCTGGGACTGCAGCTCAGCAACGTGGGATGGATGACTCTGTGGCTGTCAGGATAAAATACAGCCTCCATTCAAGGCCAGACACACACCGTCCCGCTGTAATCCAGCAGACTCGGCAGACGTACCCTCGCAGTAGGCACTTTGGAGTTCCACTTCCTCCTCTTACTTCAGTCTCTTTCTCATCCCTCCTTGTCCGTTTCCTATTCTTCTGCTGTCATCCTCCTCCTCCTCCTCACTGACCTCTCTGCTGCATGTCCTTGCTTGCTGCCTTGCTGTGGATTGCAAAAACAGAGGAGCGTTAACAAAACACCAGCCTGTTGAGGAGAGAACGTGACTGTAGAGCCACAACCTGGTGTGGAGTTTGTTTAAACGGAGGGCGACGTGGATCACGAGGCAGGGAGGGTGGACGCGAAACAGCCAAAGAGGAGAAGACGAGGGCAAACAAATAGGGTAGCAGGGAGGGAGGCAGCGGTGAACAGGAAAGGGCAAGCTACAGTATGTCTTGATTAAGTGATACAAGAGAGGGAGAGGGAGAGAGAGGATGGAGGGAGGGAGATTGCAGGCAGTGGAGACGTCACTTTAACTCCGGTGAGCTCCATGGAGCAGAAAGTAATTGACTAACTTGACATGAATCACGCAGAAACACACAGCGGATAGAGGTGTCCTTGAAGTGGCACAGGTTGGCACGCTGGTCCACACAGATGAGTGCCAGACAGTTATTAATGCGAGGGGTAGAGACAGGAAAAGCAGAGCCAGGGCAGAGAGAGAAGGGGTAGTTCATCACAACTGCAGCTGCTGTGCTCAATGCAGAGCAGCAGCCAATCAGGCAGACTCTTACAGGCAGGCAGGGCACGTGACTAACCAATGACAGAGCAGTTTAAAGCTCAGCTCCTCCCTTCACACAGCCTGTCCTTGTTCCTCTCTGATTTTCCCCCCCTCCTCACTGATACAAGCACAGTCATGGCAGTCATGGCTGAGCCACATGCTAATATCCACGCTGTACAAGAGCCCTGAGCTGAAACCAGACAGCTCAGTCTTCTCACAGATGTGGAGGAGTTATCCAAACTGTGCTCTCTGCTGCAGCATGATGCAAGGATGATGCATGCAGCCTGTTGTGCTGCTCACTCTGAAGGAGCAGAGTGACGTGTCCAGACACTAAGTGAATACAGATACTGATCAGAGAGGTGACACATGCACACAGAAGAAACTAGCAGCTTCTCAAGGGAAGAGGAGGTCCAGACTGCATTTTGGGGGGGACTTGAAAAGAAAGAAGACTATGCTGTTTAAAACCTGAGTGCATGTCCAAATAATTAAGAACAGAAGAGATGCAGGAGAGAAGGAGTGCAAAATAAAAAATCAAAACAGGGGAAGGACGACAGGGCGTTGGAGCAGATATTATCAGTCCCTGCGTCTGATGGCGGCAGACACAGACGGAGGAAGCGACGGGGGGGGGAGAATGTGAGGGAACGAGTGTGTGTGTGTGTGTGTGTGAGCATGCAGATACACAGCCCAGAAGGAGAACACTGCAGCAGAGTGGGAGACGGAGGGATAAGGGGGAGGTGGGAACTGAATTGATACACCCACCTTCAAACACAAGAACAAAGACACATCCCAGCCAAAAAAAGAGGAATGAGAGATGAGCAGGTACAGCAATTGCTTTGCTTGCTTTAACCACTCTGCTTGTCTGTGCCTCTTCTCTCCTCTCAGCCTACCTATAGATCGATAGAAACTTTTCTCAGGGGCACAAGGCAAGCACCTCCTCCTCCTGCAGCTCTGCCTGTCCTTCATTCAGGTCCACATTAGTGTCAAACGCCTCTGCTTACGCACATCCTGACGATGCAGCTCAGCAATATGCAACACGCATCATCAAAATGCTCCTCAGCAACACTCCTCGCGCTCGCCACACCAGACACCAAATGGCGCACAGTTGCCGTTACAACCATTCTTGGAAAGCTGCATTGAAAAACTGGCTTTCCTCCAATGTCAGCCTAGTTTACACTGCACTGGGCAACTTTGAATATACACAGGAACAATTTTTTACTTCCTCATACAAGCTGCTGGGACTCTGCTTTCCTCAGTTTGCCTCTTGCCTCTATTGAGGCATTTATGGATACAGCAAGACAAAGGGAACAGTTAAAAACAGAGAATTAAAGCCATGGAATAATGTGTAAGTGGGTTAAATGTGACATGGCCACTTGGGGGTGTTAGTTTGTTTGTTTTTTTACAGCATGGTCATAAACAGACCAGTGTGCGCCTGAGTTAGCAGACCTGATATTTTGCAAGTGATAAAGTAACTTTTATTAATTAGTTACTTATAAGTGGGAGCTGCTCCTACATCACTGAGCATGTAAATGTAGCTAAATGGAAAAGAACAGATGACTTTTACTGCAAACTAAGAGTATCAAATTATTCAGAAGTACTCTGAATGAACTGACAATCCTTTCCTTTCCTAGTGGATATGTGTGACGCTCTTCTTGCACGCTAATACTGTGAGCTACATGCAAAATACTGCAAAATTCCCATATAACCCTAACAAACTAGTACATACTTTAACACTGTAGGTTAGTGCACGGCTGTGCATGTTAACTTAGTAGGCACCACTGCCCAGTATCCTGGCAAAACATATGGTAGGGGACTATTTTTTTT